CAGGGAACAACTAATAAGGAAAACTAAATAAAATATGTGTGTGTCCATCTTTTCTTTGTGCATGCTTCGGCAAACGTAATTAGTCATTCCTGCCCCCCACCCCCATGTAGCCTTGAAGCAGGCACAACAGTCAATGTGTCACAAATAGCACCCTTCCTGCTCCTATTTTGGCTGGTTCCAGAGAGATTTAAATGAGACCTATAGCTGATTCATTTATTAATGTTTTTCCTCATCCTTATACTGTCGTACCTCGGAAGTCGAACAGAATCCATTCCAGAAGTCCATCCAACTTCCGAAACAATAGAAAACTAAAGTGCAGCTTCTGATTGGCTGCAGGAAGCTCCACAGAATCGGAAGCCACAGAAGCCCTGTTGGATGTTTCCTTCCAAAAGAATGTTTAAAAACTGGAACACTCAATTCCAGTTTTCAGTCTTTTGGGAGCCGGAACATTCGACTCCCAAGGCGTTCATGACTGTGTAGCTCGAATTGTTAGGAATCAATTGGAAATGAAAGGTATCTCAAATCCTGAGGGCAGTGACAGAGGCCAGACCTGCATTCTGTTCCACAAGCTTTCTGATTTCAAACCAACCATGCATCTTGTCATAAAACCATTAACATTTCAAGTTTATCCTAAAGATGTAAACCTTTGGTTTCACAAACATCAGTTACAAACAAAAAAGTCACAGTTATAGTAAAGTCATTTACTATACATGTACTCTACTATTAATTGAAGTCAGTTAGCTGGATGAGTTACTTTCAAAATGAAAGTGGATACCTACATGTCCCTGAGGCTGACCCCATGGCCAGCACCCCATGTCCAAAAAGCATAGAGGCAAAGTGCATAGCACAGCTCCAGTGGCCAGTTCCTTCTCTCTTTCCTCCTGCCGATGTCTTGATGTTGTGCACACAATGTTGCCCCCCCCCCAATCACCCTCACAAGCTGGCCCCACTGTACCCCAGTATACTTTTATTTCTTAGTCTTAATGTAAACTAATGAATGCAAATGTATCTACTGGTAGGAGTAGGCAATGCTTCGGTACATAGTAAAGGGTTTCTAAATAAGTTCTTGAGTTCTCACATTTTTTATATATATGGAGCAAGAATCACTCTGATGGATCCGTGTAAAATGAGGTCACTTAGTAGATAATACAACTTTCCTCCACTAGAGTCCAGAGTTATCACAGTTCAATACTGGACAAAATGGGGATTTAGAATCAAGTTGCTTGGGACACACTCCAAAGGGCAGATGGGCTAAACTCATTAACAAACAATATATTGTTGCATTTTTAACTCATTTCAATCTCCTCTCATTTTTTCCTCCTGTCTCCTCCTTTCCCTGCACTCCCAAAGACTGCAGAAAAGGGATTGTATATTGTATATTGTAGCCCCCACCACTGACAGGGCCCTTTGCCTGCCCATTGAGGCCCTTCCAGCTCCTGTCAGAAGGATTAAGCAGAAGGGCCTTGACCTGAAAATTTAGTAGCCCTGCTGTCAGTCTCAATACTGAGCTATATAAGCTTATTTCTTATGTCATGCATATGGTTTTTACTGCTTAAATAATCTGTAAGAATAATGTTAAATATAAACAGGACAAACAAGAATTGGAAGTGATTCAAGGAGGTGTACTCATCAGCATAAAGATGAACCTCAAATACCTCCAGGCATTTGACTCTGCATTTAAACCCAGGCCTTCCAGTTATGTCAAGTATGAGTTTTGTGGCTGACCTTTAAGTCTTGGTAGAAGCATACTGGACATAGGAGGATACTGGACTTCTAATTATCCCTCAAAAAATAAAATAATAGATTTAAGATGTTAATAGTTTTAAGATCCTGGTGGGGGATGGAGGAGTGGAGAAGCTAGCAGTTTTGCCACACATTATGCAGTTTCAAAGGCAAACAGCACACTGGGGGAATGATAATCATCCCTATCATTATCAGAATCACAAGTTTCCATATTTGGACACAATGGGCATTCAGATCCTGTTAGCAAGATCAACAATCAGCATCTTTAAGAAGCTACAAAACACTCAGGTTGTTCAGAACTGGACCTAAGCATATGCAGGGTTCTATCAGTCTTTTGAATGGTCATCCCTCCAAAGGACATGCTTCCACCGGATGATTCTTCACTGATTTTTAGCCCAAATATTATGAATATCTCTGTTCCTCATCATTTCTCCTTCACCAATTAATCTTCAACTGCCATTTTTTTCCCTGTAACAATTGGATCTCATTAACAAAGTTTTAATTAACACCCTGCATGTTTCCTTACCATAATTTATATTTCATTCATTTGGAGAAATATTTTGTACCACTTTCCATAGAGGTCATTGCTGTATTGTTTTTCATCATCACTGCTTTTTATTTTTTCCAGTACTAAATTATGTCAATTTACTTAACCGATAGTTGTTGATGTTTCTTTTCTTCGCACACCACATTAAATTTATTCATACTTGTTCCTGAAAAGGCATATATGAGGATTCTAAAATGAAGGGGAAATGTCTAGTTCTCACTTAATTCTAGAGGATAAATTGAGAATATAAAAAGAATATGTTGTTCAGGGGTGCTGATGGACAAGGAGCAATATGAAATATAATATCAAGGCACAGGTACACAGCTTCCCCAAGTTGTCATGCTGTAAATAAGTATAATGATATAATTTACCATCAGCAAAACAGATCATAGCCACATCTAATGCTGAGGTGAAACATGGGGATTTATATATGGAGGAGGAAATTTGTCAACCGGACCATGCTGTTGTTGGTGATACTGCTGGTGCTGCTGTGTCATACTGTGTGCAAGACACATATTAACTGCAGCATATTTGATGATCCCCAACCTATACCTCATAATTTTTATCAACCAGGAGACCTTCTCATCGGTGGAATTGTTTCTCAAGTCCTTTATCTCTATAATAATCTCTCTTTCACTGAACAACCTGGACAGGTCTTGATTAATGAACCCATGTGAGGCATTATTTCTCTCTCTCTCCCTCTTTCATATTTTCAGGCTAAAGTAACTGACAACACACAACTATGCAACACGGGGCTTACATAATTCTTTATTTTGGGGAGAGGTGAGAAAAAGATGGCATCCCAGCAACATTTGATTAATCTTTATTTTAATCCTCCTTATTTTGTTGCATAGAAACCACTAGTAAATCCCACCTTACAGGGGGGTTCTGTGTATTGCAATAGAGTTTGCGTAGAAAAACTACTTGCTGGATGATGCCCTTGGGGTCTGAGTGGTTTTCTGCTTGACTCCTACACTGCTGAATCCTAACCAGGAAAAGGCAGAAGTGGAGCCTCCTGAGAAGGGAGCTATATATCCAAATGTAGAGTAGAATGTTTGTGAAGAGATTTAGGACATATTGAAGGGAGCCCACTGAGAACTTTTTCAGATTAAGACATTTCCTTTGGAGCAACAAACAATCCTCAATATATTAAGTGTCCGTTTCTCATGCTAACCAAGTGTTGTATGCAATGTTAGTCATCCTCAGAAAGGAGCCATTTAAATCAATGGACACGACTAACTTAGGACCAGTAATTTCAATGGGTATACTCTGAGTAAAGTTTAGCTGCATTTGTGTCTGCAATAACAATTGAAGCAAGATGCTTATGATGTGCCCCTCCCAGTAGACCCTGCAACAATTTCACTCTGTTATGGTCTTGAAAGAACATAGATGAGTGATAAAGGAGAAGACCACAAATGTGTTTGTTTTTGCATGATGAAACTATTGTAACTTTTTCTGCAGCTCAGTGCCTAAAAACTACCAGCACATCCTGGCCTTAGCATTTGCTGTCAAAGAGATCAATGAAACTCCTACAATTTTATCAAATGTCTCTCTGGGATTCCACATCCTCAATAGCTACTACACTGCAAGAATGACTTATAAGGCCACTCTGAGCCTGCTTTCTTCACAACATAGTTTTGCCCCCAACTTCAAGTGTCATAAACAGAATAATCTGAAAGCTCTCATTGGAGGATGTATTTCTGAAATCTCTGCCAATATAGCCATTGTTTCAGGAAGCCTGAAGATTCCACAGGTAGGCTATGTGCATAGGGAGATGAAGATTTCACAACCTTGGCATACCATTTTATTTTATTTTATTTTATTTTATTTTATTTTATTTTATTATTATATTTTATTACCACATCTCTTGTTGCATTTGGGTTAGCAAACTGATTAAATCAGAGCTCAAATATAATATAATCTGATAAATTCACATCTCAGTGGAAAACAGTACTCTAAAAGTACTTACCAAGAGTTCCACATTAAACAAGTTTCAAGGAGAGTGGCACAGGGATCTGTTGTGGGCCTGATAAGCTTAAAAATCTCAGTGATGTAGATGGCAGGGGAAAGGGAACACATCAAATTTTTAGATGATGGAACACTGGGAAGGGTAGCTGATACCTCAGGAGGCAGGAATGAAATTCAAAATTATCTTACTAGATTAAAATTTAGTAGAATTATAATTTTCAAATCACAAGCAGCGTTGGTTTTACTTTATTTCTACTAGTCAGAACATTTGCAATTCTTGGTACAACACTGTAAGAGGGATATGTAGACAAATTGGAACAGATTGGACTGTGAAAATGATCAGGGAAATGGAACAACATTCTTTGAAAAATGTTGAAGGAATTGGGTATATTTGGCTTGAAGAGAAGAGAGTTAAGGGGAGCCAATATAACAAGCTTCAGATACTTGAATTGCCAAGCCATAGAAGAGGTAAAAACTTTTTTTCTAGAAATGCAGAAGATAAATATAGATTTTGATTCAACATGAGGAAAAATATCTAGTAAGACAGTCAACCAATTGACAAGAGGTAGGTGGGTTCCATCTTGCTAGAGGACTGTTGCAGAGATTATTCAGGCAGGTCCTGGGTATGGTTTAATTGTGGAAAACTCTGCATAATACAGGGATTTTAATGAGCTGTAGGAGCTAGTGCAATTCTATGAATGAATGATAAAGCACTCTTATAACTTGGAATGTTTTATTTTAGCTCACTTATGGATCATTCTTGCCAGTCCAGGATGAAAAACTGCTATTCTCTTTTTTGTACCAGATGGTCCCAAATGAAGCCCAACAAAACATAGGTGTTGTGCAGTTATTTCAGCATTTCAGATGGTCATGGATTGGACTCTTTGCTGTGGATGATGACAAAGGGGACAGGTTTTTACAGACTATGGTGCCAATCCTTTCCCAGAATAGCATCTGTTACGCCTTTATAGTAAGAATACCAAAATGGAATTATGTAGATGAGCTGGTAGATTTGCTTATACAGCAGTGGAAAAACTATGAAATGGTCATTCAGAGAAAAGCCAATGTGTTTTTTGTATATGGAGAACCTCCATCCTTTCAAATGTTGAGAACATTGCTGTTTCTAGCACCTTTCTTGTCTTTTCCATCTCTGGGTAAAGTGTGGGTTATTACATCCCACTGGGATTTTGCATCTATTTCTTTTCAAAAGATTTGGGATATACAGACATTCCATGGCTCCATATCATTGACAGTTCATTCAAATCAGCCATTAGGATTCCAAAGGTTCATTCAGATGGTAAGACCTGCCTGGGCCAAAGGAGATGGCTTTATTCAGGACTTCTGGGAACAGGCGTTTGGCTGCTCATTAAAGGAGAACAAAACCTGCACCGGGGAGGAGAAGCTGGACAGCATTTCAGGGGTTTTGTTTGAAATGAAGATGACTGGCCATAGCTACAATGTCTACAATGCTGTCTATGTTGTGGCACATACTTTGCATGCCATAAATAAATTCAGATCCAAGCATAGAAGATTGGAAGGGCAGAAACTGACATTTCAGAATGTGCAACCATGGCAGGTAATTATAATGCAACGTATTTTTAAAAAAGAAAATAAGAGACTAGCTTATGATGCAGAAGTAGAACTCTACAGCTTCCTAAACTAATTCAACTACATTCTGGGAGTTTGGAAATCAATTTGGATAAGTAGTTCCAGCCACATTACAAAATGTTATCTTAATATAATTATTACTGTTGTTGCTGCTGTACATAATTGGTGACCCACAATGTGCCTTGTGGAGAAATACAAGGAAATTTTATCTTGATATATGAAGTTACCACATATACTGTTCAAAAAGAATAATCCAGTGGTTCGTTAAGACATGGTTTCATGAATCTCATTCAGAGTCTTCTGCCTGTTTGCATTTTCTTCCTATCTAGTTCCATCAGTTTCTTAAAGATATTTCATTCAATAACAGTGCTAGGGATACTATAAGCTTCAATAAAAATGGAGAATTGGTTACAGGATTTGATATTACAAACTGGGTAATGTTCCCCAATGGCTCGGTGGTTAGAGTCAAAATTGGAAGGTTGGAACCTCAGGCTCCTCCAGGCAAACAGTTAACCATTAATGATGGCCAAATTGTCTGGCATCAAGTATTTAATCAGGTAAGATATCATTGTGGATCCTTGCCTTAATTATTTGTTAAATCAAAGCAATAAAATGATTAAATCAAAGCAATAACATGAATAACATGAACATCAGCAAAAAAAAATGTTTATACAGTTTCATACATTAAAAAGACTGTAAAAAAATGTCTAAATAAAAAAAAGAGACTTTCATGTGTACAAACAATTAGTAACAGTTTTGTATGTAAAACTAACGTAAAATTCAATACAAAGAAATATATAGGCTGGGCTAAATATTTCCACTTACAAGGCATGTTGAAAAAAGAAGATCTTAAATAGGCAAAAGAGATTCCAAAGGGCGGGTGCCAAAAGGGGTGTTGTTCCATGGCAGTAATCCTATGGGGGTTCTCCTGAGCTCAGTTTTGTCATGTATTCTATGCTATTCAAAAAGACCCATCAAATTAATGAGGACTAATAGAATGGAACTTCAACCAGGGAAGATGGAATACAATTTATATGTAGTTTGTCTACCCAATTAGGAGGGATTCACACTTTCTTGGACAGGGTTGCACGCCTCCTAGAAGAGCACATTCATAATTTGGGGGTGTTCTTTGATACCACCTTTTCACTTCAGGCATAGGTGCACACAGTGGCACAGCCCATCTTTTATTACGCAAACTATAACCCTGTTTGGACAGAGATAGCCTTGCAACACTTGTTCATGTTCCGGTAACATCCTACTTGTATCACTGCAATGGATTATTTGCAGGAGGACTACATTTAAAGACAGTGTGGAAACTATAGGTGGCCTAAAATAGAGCAGCCAAGAGTGCTGGTGGGAACTGGCAAATACAGAAATATATAAGTAAAACAAAGAAAACCTTCTGACAAGCTTTAAAGATTCCTGAAGGTTGCATATCAACTTAGGGAGCAATTGCATATAAAAGAAGCTGGCATAAAGCACACTGGTGTATTTTAAACTGTATTTTAAATATCCCAGATTCAAGTCCTGATTTAAAGCAGGTCTGCTGCTGCTGCTGCTGCTGCTCTGTGCATACCCTCCAACATTTATCCAATGAAAATAGGGATGTCCCATTCCATAATTTTACTGTTTATACCCCACACATCTTACTGGGTTGCCCCAGCCACTCTGAGCAGCTGTCAACATATATAAAACAATAAGAAAACATTAAACATTAAGAAATCTTCCCTATACAGGATTGCCTTCAGACAGCTTGGGGGTCATACCCTCCAGCATTTCTCCAACGAAAATAGGGACATCCTAATGAAAAGCAGGACATTCTGGGATCAAATCAGAAACCGGGATGGCTTCTCTAAATCAGGGGTGTCCTGGAAAATAGGGACACTTGGAGGCTCTGCTATAAGCCCAGCAAAGGGGAAAGAAGACTTTAAAATAGTGTTCTGCTGATTGCCAGGTCATATGACCAAAAGGAATGAATTTAAGATCCAGCCTAAGTTCTGCCTATCTGGTCTTGCCCCCCACTACACCTCCCAAAATGCTCCTTTGGAGGGACTTACATATGGATTGGCTCAGTCAGCTGCAGCTCACTGAACCTTGGCTGAGAAAGTTACTTGTATATGTGGCTGAGCAGGTATTGGGGTCATAACACCACCTGAGCCCAAGATCTGATTCTTCCTATGCTCCTCTTCCTGGCAGATCTTGCCTTGGTGCAGGAGAAGTTTCCCAGCATCTTTCTTGTCAAAACGTGCTCTTATTTTCTCATGGCTAGTCTCTCTTTTATGATTTCATGAAGGTGTTGCCTCTTTCTGTGTGCAATGACAACTGCTATCCAGGCTTCAGCAGGAAAAAAAGGGAGGGAGAGAAATTTTGCTGCTATGATTGTGCTCCGTGTCCGGAAGGGATGATCTCTGACAAGAAGGGTAGGGGACATAATGTTGAAGACATAAGATTGATATACTTGAAATGTAATGTTTGTATGCATTGAAGTTTAAAGCTAGTGTAATGATTTCCATTTTGCAAAGAGAATTTTGCATTAGGCAAGAGCTGTATCTCTAGGCGAATGTGGTAAGAAGAGTCCAGAGTTTTCTGTTTGAGTGTTTAAGGCTAATGGGACTTGCAAGTGGTCTACATTCCAATAACTATTGAAATATGGACTTCCGCAGCTTCAGCAAGATGGCAGTGTTATTTTTATTTATTTTATTTAACAAAAATAACTGTTTTAAAACAGGCCTGAACCAAGACTGTAATTTATCTAAATAATCCATGTCATGCAAGAATGCTTGGAGCTGCTTTATGTACATTCAAACTAAAGTTCTTCAAAAATCAAACAGAAACAGCTTGCAATATAATAATATTCACCACATTTCATATAATAAAATTACTATCTACGTAGAAAGCACAAACTATTATTTAATGAGAGATTTCCTAGTCTACAGAAAATCACTCAATCACTGCAATCCACCAGCTCAAGTTAAAAAACGTCAAGAATGTGGAAAAGAGACTCTTTCATTGGCTGCTACTACAGATTCCATTTGATGGATGTTTGTCAATATATTGAAATATTTTAATAGTTCTTCCTCTTTTTCAGATATGGATGCTTGTGTGAATTGTCCTGATGATAAGTATGCAAACAAGGACCAAACTCAGTGCCTCCCTAGGGTGCCAAGCTACCTCTCTTACAAAGAAACTTTGGGGTTCATTTTATCGATCTTTGCCATTTCTTTCTCTTTAATCACTACTTTAGTATTTGGAACTTTTGTGAAGCTCAAGGACACTCCCATAGTCAAAGCCAACAACCGGACCCTCACCTACACCCTCCTCATCTCCCTCCTCCTTTGCTTCCTCTGCTCCTTCCTCTTCATTGGACAACCTGGAAAGGTCATCTGTCTTCTCCGACAATCAGCCTTTGGCATCATCTTCTCTGTGGCCCTATCCAGCATTTTGGCCAAAACTATAACAGTGGTTCTAGCATTCATGGCAACAAAACCAGGATCCAGGATGAGAAGATGGGTGGGGAAAGGACTGGCAAATTCTATTGTCCTTTCTTGCTCCTCCTTTCAAACAGGCATTTGTACTCTTTGGTTAAGCACTTCCCCTCCGTTCCCAGATAGGGACATGCACTCAATAAATGGCAAAATTGTATGGGAATGTAATGAGGGTTCAGTTACCATGTTTTACTGTGTCTTGGGCTATATGAGCTCACTGGCCATTGTCAGTTTCTTTGTGGCTTTCCTAGCCAGGAGGTTGCCAGATAGTTTCAATGAAGCAAAGTTCATCACCTTCAGCATGTTGGTCTTTTGCAGTGTTTGGTTATCATTTATTCCGACTTACCTAAGTACCAAAGGAAAATACATGGTGGCTGTGGAGATCTTCTCCATCTTATGCTCCAGTGCTGGCTTACTGGTTTGTATCTTTGCTCCTAAGTGCTACATCATTATGCTGAGGCCAGAGCTGAACAACAAGGAGCAGCTAATAAGAAAAGCAAAATGAAAGAATACGTCCACCTCTTCATTGTGCATATATGGAAATGCTGATGCTACAGATCTTGTGAGAATTTGAGTATGTGTACTTGCTGAGACAAAAATCTCTGTTCTTGTTGGTAGGCTTGTACCAGGTACAGCCCACCCTAATAGGTTGTCCTTCTTGAGTCTGCTGTCATTTTCTGCTTCCCTATCCTGAAGGTGAGAAATGCAAGCCAGGACAGGCTTGCATCAATCAATCAGTTCCTCTCAAAATGGCACAGGTTCACTGTGTTATTCCCCTTTCCCTTGCCACTGCTTTTCATTCTGCATGTAGAACTTTTTAATTTAGAAATATTAGAGCAGGAATACTTGCCTATGCAGACATCTCTGCTCAAATCATTGAACTCAGATTACCTATAGTGACCCCATTTGGATTCTGTGCACAAATTATCTACATATGCAGTTCCAGAGAGATTGAAACAGGACCCACAGCTGATTCTTCTTGTAATGTTTTTCCTCATCCTTATATAGCTCAATTCATGAAGGGAATAAATTGGGAATGAAAGGTATCTCAAGTCATGAGGGCAGTGACAGAGGCCAGACCTGCATTCTGTTACACAGGCTTCCTCTTCTTAAACCAACCATGCATCCAGCCATAAAACCATAAAAATTTAAGTTTATCCTAAATACATAAATCCCCGGTTTCACAAACATCAGTTACAAACATTAAAGTCACAGTAAAGTTATTTACTACACATGTACTGAATTATTAATTGAAGTTAATTAGTTGGATGAGTTATTTTCAAAATGAAAATGGATACCTACATGTCTCTGAGGCTGACCCCATTTGTGAAACGTATGTGAAACTGATTTGTATTAGTGGAGGCTGGTGGAACCTAGACCTGGTGGGGCACCTAGGAGGTGAAGGGAGTGATACCAGGAGGTCACATGGACAGTGCTTAGAAGGACAAGGAGGCCCCATGGATGGCATCTAGGTCCCCATCCA